CCTTCCAAGTAGCCGGAATTACAGGCATGCGCTACCACGCCCGGCTGATTTTTTGATTTATTGTAGAGATGAGGTCTCGCTGCCCAGGCTGGTCTCGAACCCGCGGGTCAGGCAATCCACTCACCTCAGCCTCCCAAAGGCTCAGGATTACAGGCTGAGCCACCGAGCCCGGCATGAATTGTTTTTTATTTTTGTGTTTGCTACCTATGTTTTTTGGAACACTTCCCCAAAACCAAGATCAGAGTCAGATTACTATATTATTATTTAAATTCAGTTTGTATTTCTTAGGCATTAATTGTTTCTTTTTCTTGGTAACTTATGCATGTCATCTTTTCTCACAGCATGTAAAGTTGTCTGTTCACATAGTATTTCTCCTAATATATCCAGGTCACGAAATAATATTCCATCTAAGACAAATATTGTACTTTCAGAAACTAGGTGTCACTGTATAAGAGATGTTCTAATATTGTATTCTAAAAGAATTGTTGAGCTGGGCACACTGGTTCATGCCTGTAATCCCAGCACTTTGGGAGGCTGAGGCACGAGGACTGTCTGAGCCTTGGGGTTCAAGACCTGGACAACTTGGAGAGACCTCGTCTCTACAAGAAATCAGAAAACTAGATGGACATGGTGGCATGTGCCTGTAGTTCCAGCTACTTGGAAGGCTAAAGCAGAAGGATCTGAATCCAGTAGGTCAAGACTGCAGTGGCCATGAGCATGACACTGCACTCCATCCTGGGTGACAGAGTGAGACCCTGGCTAAAAAAAAAAAGAATTGCTTTGAATGCCAAGTGCTTAGAGAATAAGTAAATCATCCACCTATAATTTTCAGTCAGTCACTCAATTGTTTAGAGAAGCAGTTGACAGGATAAGCACCCTGTATGTATTTTATTCAGAGAAAGAAGCAAACAAACAAAAAAATCTCAGGCTAAGGTAGGATGATAGGTTGATTTAGCAGCATCAGAAACCTGCTGTTTTTCAGACACAATTGTAATGACTCTATTATACAATTGAACGATGGATTTCCCAAAGATTATAGTAAGCACACATAGTAGCAAAACAAATTAATAAATTCATTTTTAAAAACTTCCCCAGTATTCTTACTTAGAGGCAGATCCCGCATTTTGGGTATATAAAATTGCTCCCTGAAGTGCCTCAGCTCATCTTCCTCATCTAGGTGGAGAGCAACCCTTTCATCTGTTGGGTGACATTTGAGTTTAGCAGCGATGCGTTGCACTGTGTCAGCTGGTAGCTCAAGAGGTGAAGGTGCCATTACAAATTATTCTCTGAAAATGAAACAACACAACAAAGTTTAGCATATCCTCCATTCTTTTCCTGCAGAAAATTAGCTTTTTAGGAACTGCACCATTTGTTTTAACTAAGATTCCCATTTTCCCAACCTTGGAAATACTATAATTAACCAACCGACATTAAACTCTGTGCTGAGTTGTTCTCATATGGGCAACGAAGAAAGTAATAGTCCTTAGGGACGTTGAAAGGATTAAACTAGGTAATAGCACTCAGCACAGACTAAGTTCTCAATAAATGTTAGCTTGTTTAATTCTTATTATCTAGAAAAGTGTACCACATTCATAGCTTTCAAACACATATGAGTTATCTTCATCAATTTTCCTTTAGGTATTTTAATGGAATCTAGTAGTAGAAATGTTTTTTTGTGAAAGTGCAGAAAAACAGTGTCCCAGCCAACTTGTTCTTCTCCCAATCCCACTTTCAGTGGTTTTTAGATCATATTTTTAAAGCTATGGACATACTGGATCCAAACATGAATTTTCATCAATTATGAAAATAATTGATGAAAAAGTGACTTTGCTTTAAATGTTAGTATTTTTTTTTTCATATGAACACCAAAGAGATTCATCCACCTGCTGCTGTTAATAATGAGAAATTTCTTCTTTTTCACCACTGCATGTACCATCTCAGAACACTCAGGACCCTGTAACCACATTTTACTCTTTTCAATCACCATTTAACATTTTCTTCATTTTTGGAAAGAAAATTTAGTATCTCTGAAGGAAATAAATGAGAGTGGAAATTTAATAATATATTTTTAAACTTTGCCCAACTTTGTTTATATTTTCCAAGTTTTAATTTATTTAAATTGAGCAAGAATCATATTAAAGGGGAAGAGTTTGCTCTGCCAGGCTGAATTTACATATAATTTGCTGAGTTCATTCATGCATTCTTCCATCTATTTACTCTTTCAATGAATACTTCTTGAGCATCAACCATGTGGCCTCCAGCAAGGGCGAGAAAGAAGGGTATGAGATAAGTGAGTGCCAACTCTTGTACTGTTTACTTTTTAGTGGAATAATGGAAAAATAAATAATGCAATTTTAGATAGTTTCAAGAGAGTAATAGGACAGAGTCACTAGGGTGTGGAAGAGCTACCTTAGAGGGATCCAGTGCATCTTTCTGAGGAAGAAACATACAAGCACTCTAAATCATGTTATGGAGTGACAGATATTTTTCCTGTATTCTAAATTTACATTCTTCTACTTACTAGGACTCTTTTTTCTCAATTGCCAATGTTCTTTGCTGATGAATCATCCTTTGTATTCCTAGATTAAGATACCAACCTTCACCATTGGAAGTTTTTTAGTTTGCTACCAGTAATGGCTCCCAATTGCTCCAATTCATGCTTTTGGACAAAAGCCAATGATTTCAACATTGATGTTGATGGTGGTTTTAATATCTGACCACAACTATTATTTGTCCCCTCATGAAATTTCCTATTTCTGTGATTTTTCTCATGCCATTCCTTTTGTCTAAAATGGTTTGCTTTCCCTTCTTCAATGTTTAGATTGTAACCACACTTCAAAGTCCTAGCTCAAATGCCACATTTTTAATGAGGTCTGGTATTATGTCTCAGATTAAAGCAGTATTTCTTCCTCTGAATATCTGTAACATTTATGAGCATACTGTTATGAGCATTACTTAAGATAATACATTCTTCCAGGTACTGTATTTATTTGGAAACATGTGTGAATGGAATATATCAGTCATGATCATCATGCCCACAACTTGATTCTAAATAAGTCCCTACCAGTAGCTTTCTGATGAAGGAACTTGTCTTCTAAATAGAGATGACTGTGTCTCTACTACTAGATGTTATCAGTTGCTTGGTCATAGTTTGTTAGAACTCTGTTGGACACTGACCCACTAAGGACAACATAGTTTTAACCAAGATCTGTGCATGACTTTCTGTAAAATCTCTACCCAAACACTGATGATGTCTACCTGAGCATATAATTAAATTCTTTCAGGAGTCTGAGCTGTGAGGTATATTTAGTCATTCAGCTAGAAACAGGAACAAGAATTTTACATATTTACGGGTAAAAGCTATGAAATGTTAGGATCTAGGAGGAAAGTTATCATGAATGACTCATTTTTCAGAGTAAAACAGAACCACTGGTTGTTAAAGCATGAAGTGATTCTAGCAGCAAGTAGGAATCACTTAGTTACACAATGGTGGGGAATTGAACAGCTATGTCTTCTGAAAAGGTGACAGAACAAGTCTATGTTAAGGGTCAAGAAATACTTCATGCAATAAGCTATGTGTAAGGCCCTGGGGGTATCTGTCTGCTTGCCTAAAATTTATGGTTAAAATTACGTGAGTTGTTTTTCTGCCTTATTATCAAGTGTGTCTACTATAAATCTATTACTTAATGGTAGTTTGAGTTACTGGTCTATCCTACTGAACTGTACTCTATCCAGAGACCTGAATTGTGTTTAATTTATCTTTATACTACCTCATTGCTGAGCAGTGTTTAAATGCTCCTCCCAAAATAGCAATTGACTAAAAGAATAATCAAAATAGTTTGGTGAATTATTTGACACAATCAATGACATATTACTAGAGGGACGATCTCTCTCATTTGACAACATGGGAAAAAATTAGAGAAAAATTTCTAGTGAACTTCAGAATCAAGAGAGCTTGCATTATATTTGGGACTTCCTTTGCGTGAGGGGTGGTCAGTACTTTGAGAGTTCATTGGAGATAACTTGAAACTCTCAGTGAGGTTACTTAAATTACTATACAGATTAGTTTGCCACTATCATATTCCAAGTAAAATTCAACTTTCCTTATATAAAAAAATATGCATTAGTTTCTTTATATCTGTATCTTATTTCATCCTTATATCAATCCTGAGGCATCAGAATCATTTTACCCCATTTCAAGACCTAACTATGACATAGCTAAAGGAGAAAAAAAAATGGAATAGAAGGATAACAGAGAGCATGGTATGGTACTGAATTGTGCTGAGTTGGTGAGTCAATTGTGTTCATTTTTGGCAAAATATGTGAGTGTAATATACAGAGCAGAATTTCTGCTCAGAGACTTAAACTTCAACTTTATTTTTCCTTATATCATGCGTCCTGATGTAAGTATACATATAAATATGTATGTATGTATGTATATATATATATATATATATATACACACACATATTTCATTAGATTATTTCATTAGCTTAGCTTATTCCATATCTTTGACTTCTTTTTACAGTCCTGCACTCAGTCTGCAAAGGACCACAGGCTAAGTATGAGTCCATTTACTCTTTTAAATCTATTCTCTCTTTTTATTCCAGTTGCAGTCAGGCAAAAGTTAAAGTGGCTAGGTCCATTTCTGAGCCTGTCACACCTGGGGTAAGGTGAGATACTGGATGGGAGTAGTCTTTCTCAAATGAGTGCACCTCACCCCAACTCCACTGTGCACAACCTCCAACAGAATTAAATATAATCTTTAGATTCCAGAATTGCATAGTACCCTCACTCCAAGAAAGCCATTTATTAACTCATGCTAATTTGCTGCTTAACTCTGTATTCACCTACTACCTAAGACAAGTAGTGTTCAAAAGTCATAATTTTATTGCGTGTTTAGGGCTGCTGTTTGCAAATAAATTGACATGCTCATATTTTGAAATGAAGAAATTAAAATCCATTTTAAAGACTTTAAATTTTATATTCCACATAATTACCATTAGTTGTATTAAGAAGGTGGACATACATACCATATGGTCTCAGGCAAGTCACCTAACATCTCTATGCATCAGTGTTATACAAAGTACAGTTAAATTTTACTTTTTTCAAGGAATAGTGGTTAGGCTGATGACATGAATGAAGTTCTTTAAAAATAGATAAAATATATTTTATAATATTTTAAATGTTAATACCATGTGATGGAAAATTGCTGCTGTGCCCACAACTAACTTTTGAAATTTTGTTAATTGTATTTCACAATTTTATTTAGACAACTACAACTTAAAGCTAAAACTTGTATAATAATTAAAGAGTGATTGTTTTTAAGAAATTACAAAATTGGCTGTGCTCAGTGGCTCAGCCTGTAATCCCAGCACTTTGGGAGGCCGAGGTGAGTGGATTGCCTGAGCTCGCGGGTTTGCGACCCACCCGGGCAACTTGGTGAAACTTTGTCTCTACAATACATCAAAAATTAGCTGGGCATGGTAGCACGCGCCTGTAGTTCCAGCTACTTGGGAGGCTGAGGTGGAAGGATCGCCAGAGCCCAGTAGGTCAAGGCTGGAGTGGCCGGGAGCGTGCCACTGCACTCCAGTCTGGGTGATAGAGTGAGATTCTAACTCAAAAAAAAAAAAAAAAGGAAAAAAAAAAAGAAATTACAAAATTGAGTATCTCCTAGTCACCCACTGGTCTAAGGTTAAATAGTTTTAAATGATTGTTAGTATACAGTAGTTAATCTTTACACAGCTTCATGTTACATGCCTGAAAAAAGCAAATTGCTCACATGAGTTTAAAGTTTATAATCCAATTAAAAACATATAAAGAATGTGCGTAGCTTTTCATTGTGAAAGAAAATCTTAGTATATGTGAACTTAATATATATTCAAAGACACACTTCTTTAAGCATATCATTGAGAAATGAGTGACATTACAGTTACTACTGCACTTTAGGATTGAACTGAACCTAGTACATGAATTGCTTGCTGAGCTTCCCAGTAATAAAATCAGTGCAATATTTTTATTTTATAAAAAATAATAGAGACAATGACTGGGAACAGTGACTCACACCAGTTATCCCAGCACTGTGGGAGGACAAGGCTTGTGTCTAGGAGTTGGAGACTAGACTAAACAATATAATGAAACTTCATCTCTACCAAAAATAAAAATAAGAATAAATAAAGACAGTCTTGTTATGTGGTCCAGACTAGTCTCAAACTTCCAATCTCAAGCAATCCTCTTGCTTCAGCCTCCCAAAGTGCTGGGATTACAGGTGTGAGCCACCATGCTTGGGAAAATCAGTTCATTTGATTAGTGCTTCAATGCTGCCACTAAATAACACTCTATCCTCCTCAAAATAAAAGCAGAAAAGAAAAAAATATTCTGCTACATAGAATTAGGTATATAACTTTCCATTCTTAGGCTAATGCGTCACAAAAAGAAAGAAGAAGAAACTGGTGAAGAAACAGACGTTTCACTTCTCTAAATATTTAATATGACTAATAGCTGCATGAGACATCTAGAGTTACCAGAAAATGTGACTTTAAAGTCTACTTAAATATATCTTTCTTTCTTCTAGATTTTGATCTAATCTTATTTAACCTCTTGTAACTACAAGATTAAATTTAATTTGTCAAATGTAACCATGGTTAGTAGATGCACTGCAGTGTACAATTAGTATATGTGAACTTCTTGGCATCAATTCTTTTTTATTACATTGATAAACTTCATTTAACCCATTTTAAAAAGTGGAACCCCTAGAGAAGTAATCAAATGTTTATTTATAAAAAGAATATGGAAAATATAAGAAGAAATAAACAGATAAAACCTCTAAAGCACTATGACAAGGATTCTAGCAAACAGAAGTTTCAATTGGAAAAATCACTGAGTGTATACTTGTGTAGAGAACGTATAACTATGCCTCAAGCTTACCAGCTAGGATTCCAATGGGGTCCTCAGCTTCCAGAACCTCTCAAGGAACCTCTCAAGTATTCCTTGTATATGAAGGGGCCAGACCTTGGTGTGAGAAGTTCAATGAATTACTCAGACTCCAGCCGAAGGGGAATTTACAAACTAATTTTAGTTCCTCCCACTCTATTTAAGCTGACTGCAAATGTTCAGCCACTGACAAACATTAAGTGAAATGTGCTCCCTTTTGGAAAACCAGCTCCTCTGCCCAAGGTTAAGTGATTCTGTTCTTTAGACTCAGGTAAATAAACATTTCATTGTCCTCTGTTTTGATCTCTGCCGCTTGAGGCTTGAGCTGATAGATTTGTTGTAGAGCTAAATTTCAAATTTTGTGTTCCTTCTTCACTTTGGACTCTGGATTTTTGAGACAATATCCACTGTCAAATATATTGAGAGTTTTCAGTCTGATCTCAAAGTTTATAACATTTTAACATATGAAGCTTTAGTCAAAAGTTTAAAATAGGCTCTCAATTCCACAATACATTTGATTTGCCTAATGTGAGTTAAAACAAACAAACAAACAAACAAACAAAATTCTCAGGTAATAAATTTACACACTTATCAAGGCAATCAAGGAAGAAAGGTGAAGTGCAAACTTTATTGATGCAAATTATTCCTTTAAGTCCATTAATTATCTAATGTTTTACCTCGATTACCTCTTTAGGCTTATTCCTCAGCACCAGTCTTTTGATAGGTACAAAAACTAAGAGCAAAGATTTTCAAAACTGGGACTAAGGATAAAGACTAGTCCAAAATAATTATCTATGCTTTTTTGAGTACTAACAAAGCTTTATTTTATGTAATCATCTCTATCAAGTGCTTGTTGTATAAGCCTTGACAATTCACTAAAACCTTGCTGAGGCTCAGTCTTCTGACTATCAAATGAACTGAAAAGTATCTGTCTCACAAGTTTACTGAGAAAATAAAACTGTACTTGTAGAAAGTCATCGTACCATGACACAAAGCAATAAATGACAATTTTTTCTTAATTAACTTGGTAAAGAGTACTGTCTTCCTATCTCTAAGAAAGAGAAATAAAGCACATAAAACAACTTCACTGTAAGTCATTGACCAATGAAAACAAAATACATTTCACTACATTAATCCCACCCTTACAAAAATCCTACAAATTAAGTAGACTATCTCCAACTTATTCACTTTGAAGAGAAAGTCAACATTCAAAAAATTGATTTTCTATTTTATTTATGACTTGTACTATAATAACATTGAAATTTTTGTTAGGTTCTAATATGTGGACAGTGAATCAGAGAGTGTGGTCGGTGTCATTTTTGAGCCATTCCTTGAACGACTGACTGTAGATATGATATAGTAACAGAAATGGACATATCAAGGTCTTATTTTCACAAGACCTTGCTTCTTCTAAAATCTCTTAATACTTTTAAAAAGCATTTCATCAAAATATTATCTTAAAAACTATTCTTTAACATTGTCACTTTTAAAGCACTTGCTTGTCTAGGCCACACTTCTATTTCTTAGATTTTGTAAGTTTCTATCTTTCTCTGCCTTTAAATTAAATTAATGGGAAACTACAAAACATCAGACACAAAGTGAAATTCAGAGATCTAATGGTAAGCAAAACTTTTATACTAATATAAGCTAATATTTAAGGGGATTTTGAAATAGCAGGTTATGAGCAGAGGAATGAAAGCAAGACCCACTGCAGGGCGAGCTGGGGAAGTTAAAGAAAGAACACAGTGAACTTCTTCTATTCCTTCTTTTTTGGAAACAGAAAAAAAAGTGTTGAGTTGTCTATTAATTTCCACATGTGCCATCCCACTTACAACATGATAAGTTCCTGAGAGGCAGAGACTGTGATTTTTGAGGCAAGGCAGCTAGCGAGGGTTAGACATAGATAGATAAATTTCCTGTAGGCAGGTTTTAGGAAGTGTTCAGACATTTTTTAAAAATTAAATTTTACTCTAGGCCAAGCTGCAGCCTACCCCATCCCCTTAGCAAATCCAAAGAAAATCCCATCAGATGCAAGAGTAGGACAGCCTAACTTTGTAGTTCATGAAACTTTCAGGTTCCCAGTCTAAGACTGAGTACCACCCTCTTCAATTACCAAAGCCATAGAAATGATAATAAGACCACCTTTTAGCTCAGGAACTTGTGAATTAGAAATGTGTGACAGGTCTCCTGCAAAAGACAAGGTGGTCAGGAGAAGGCCACCCCTCCTCATCTCCCACTCCAGGAGCCCAGAGATGTCAGTCTCCAGAGTGGCAGTTTACCTGGGCTACACCCTCTTTAGCATATCAACCACTGGGAAGGTATATCAGGTGTATTGTAAAGAACAAAGGTGCAGTTTCTTTCACCAATTCGCCAGCTCTGATGTCTCCCTTTCTTTTCTCCCTTCTTTCTCTAATAAATTTGGTTTTAAAACTTTGCTGTGTACAAAGACCACTTTTATATCTAACATTGAATGGTAACCCACATCTGTAAAATAAAAAAATATATATATAAAAAATTGGCTGACCAATCTAACATTCATTTTAGAAATGAGTCATTAGCTGGGCCTAGTGGCACACGCCTGTAGTTCCAGCTACTTGGAAGGCTGAGGCGGAAGGATCGCCTGAGCCCTGCAGGTCGAGGCTGCAGTGATCGTGAGTGTGCCACTGCACTCCGGCCTGGGTGACAGAGTGAGATTCCAACTCAAAAACAAAAACAAAAACAAAAACAAACCACACACACACAAACAAGAAAAAAACAGAAACGAGCGAAAGAATCCATGAGTTTTGCGCCACACCCCACCCCGCGTCAGTTTTATCCTTCTCAGAGCCTTGCCTATGTATGGAGCAATATTATCTGTTGTTGACGCACAATGGCGTTGGTAGACACAATAGCTCCAGTCAAGCCTGACCCGTGCTAGAGACCCCAGAAGATGCCCAGAAGACTGTTGTCCTCACGTTCTCCATGGTAACCACATGTGACAGAAAGGCCATGATCAATACTGAGGACATGTCAGAACAGATGCAGCAGGACTCCGTGGAGTGCACCACTCAGGTGTTGGAGAAATACATTAAAAAGGACACTGTGTAGCTGGGCTCGGTGGCTCAGCCTGTAATCCTGCGCCTTTGAGAGGCTGAGATGAGTGGATTGCCTGAGCCCGCGGGTTCGAGACCCGCCTGGACAACGAGACCACATCTCTACAATAAATCAAAAAATCAGCCGGGCATGGTAGCGCATGCCTGTAATTCCGGTTACTTGGAAGGCTGAGGCAGAAGGATCGCCGGAGCCCAGCAGGTGGAGGCTGCGGCGGCCGGGAGCGGCCACTGCACTCCAGTCTGGGCCACAGAGTGAGAATCCAACTCAAAAAAAAAAAAAAAAAAGAAAAGAAAAAGGACACTGTGGCTCATAAAGAAGGAGTTGACAAGAAGTACAATCCCACTTGGCATTGCATCATGGCGAGGAACTTTGGAAATTATATGACACATGAAACCAAACACTTCAGCTTGGTCCAAACGGCCATCCTTCTGTTCAAATCTGGTTAAAAGCATGTACTGTGCCACACATCCAGTGATACTTTCACAAACAAGTACTTGTTGAATGATTAACCAAATTAAATTTAGTGCAGCAAACTCTTTCTGTAACAATTCAAGCCTGCACTACCAAGCCAATCATGAAACTCTTATTCTGGAAGTTCAGTAAGTAAAAATGAGTGATGAGATTAGAGACAGACACAACACAAGCTTTTTCAAATGCTGCTGATTGGTGGCCAATTCAGGTCCCACTACCAGAAATAGTCTCTAGAAATAAAAGAAAAACCTCAACTCTGGGGACAAGTTGGGGAAAAATTGGCAAAAAGCTGCAGTTGCAAACTTGGGTATATAGAAATTTTCACATTATTCTTTTTTTTAATTAATTAAATAGAAACTTTTTTGAAGCTCTCTTCTCTGGAAGAAAGGTTAATCTAAGTTATTACTGGAACTTTCCCTCCTTTTTCTTACAGCAGAGAGATGGGAAGTTCCCAGATGTTTTACATACAGCAAAATGCGTAGGGAGATGCCAAGTAACTTCTCTTCTTGCTCTCTTGCCTCTCTCCTTTCTCCATCTTATGAGGTGGATGTGGCAGTTTACACTCAAATTAGTTTTTCTTCCTCTTGGGGATAACCAATATAACACAACACAAGTTTCTCAAATGCCAGGTCAGGAGGTTTGCCTTGAGCAATTTCTATTCTGAAGCCAAAGAATACAGAGTCTTTTCTATATGGGTAGAAGAAAACACACACACACACACACACACACACACACACACACACACACACACACACACACACACTGATCTCTCCTCTGCTCTTCCTTCTCTTTCCCTTCCTTTCCTTCTTTTTCTCCTTTCTGCCTCTCCTCTTCTTTCCCCAATCTCTTCCCCTTGCCTTCCCTCCCTCTCTTCCTCTCTTGCCTTTTCTTTTTTTCCCTTTCCTGCCCTTTTAATCTCCTCCCTTCTCTTCCCCTTTCTTCTTCTCCTTCCCTGATCCCCTCTCTTCTGCCTTTTTCTCACTTTTATATGACTGGGAAAGCAAAGCAAGTTAATATGTTAATAAACAACGAGGCTATATTTAAACAAACTGTTCTCTCTGTGAGGTACATATTCTGGTTATTAGAAAAAATTTCCAGTAATGGGCAGGGACTTTTCTGTCCTTTATATGTAGTGTTTCCTGTTTTTCAGAAGAAAATACAAAAGGCTCATCATGAGCAAATGACATTTTGTCAGTTGGTGATTATAATTTTTTTAGAAACTCAAATTCCTATAACCCATTTGCTTTTTCCTATATCAGAACTTTTCCCTCACTGATAAATTCACAGAAGCATGTAAGCTAATTTATACTTTGAACTCTAGCAGGGGAACTTGATAGTTCTCTGTTACACATGTTTGCATGTCAGTTTGTTCAAAAGTCTGATTATTTATATGACGAACTGGAATTAATAAAATAGTGTACTTTTTCTATCTACATTTAAATAGTAAGCTGATAAAATAATCAGAGTAGAGCTACAAAGAGTTTCCAAAATAAAACAAATGCCTATTTTAATGAGTTATATATCTGAATACATGGAACATTGATTAATTAGTAAATTATCATTAAGGATTTTAAACTTCCACTGTAGATCAAGGGTTTGCTTTCAAATAAATTACTTTGTAATAGTAGTTGTTGCTGTTATTGTTTGTTTAATACCACAACTTTGCTCAAAGTAATATTGTCACTTTTACCATCTCCTCTTTGATAAATACAGGTTGCCTGAGTTTCCTGTAAAAAAAAAAAGGAAAGAAAAGAAAACACAAGAGTAATTTGAGTCATATTGACATCACTGACTATATGGCAAAGTCACTGACATTTTGATGACTTAAGACAAAACGGGAACATACAATAGAAAACCTTAATTTGAAGACAAAGTTTTTATATGCTAGGATTTTTTTCCATAATACAAAGTATAATATAGATGCCTTCATTTTACCATAAGAACTCACATGTCATAACTGAAAATACCAGGGGTACCAAAAAAAAAAGTATACACATTTTAAGAGATACTGTCTTCTCGGCACATTTGAGTTCCTGGTAGATCCTAGATGTTAGGCCTTTGTCAGACATACAGTTGGCAAATATTATTTCTCAGTTTGTGGGCTGTTTCCCTGCTCTCTTGATGGTTTCTTTGGCTTTATAGAAACCTGTCAGTTTGATGAGGTCCCACTTTTCTATCTTATCTCTTATGGCATGGATGCTTGGAGTTTTGATCAGGAATTGGTTGCCAGTTCCAATTTCCGTAAGGGTGTCTCCTGCATTTCCTAGGTTCTTTTAGTTTGAGGTTTTACATTTAGGTCTTTGATCCATTTAGAGCTGATTTTTGTGTATGGTGATAGGTGGAGATCTTGTTTGAATCTTGTTTTCCCAGCACCATTTACTGAATAGGTTCTCCTCTCCCCAGTGTTGATGGTGGAGGCTCTGTTGAAGATGAGTAGGTTTAGAAATTGAGGTTTTGCTTCTGGAATCTCTATCCTGTTCTATCAGTCCATATGCCTGTTCTTGTACCAATACCAGGCTGTTTTGATTATTGTAGTTTTATAATAGAGTTTAAAGTCTTGGAGTATGATACCTCCTGCTCTGTTTTTTTGCTGAAGATTGCTTTGGTGATTCGTGGTTGTTTATGTTTCTATATGAATTTCTGTATTGTCATTTCCAGGTCTGAGAAGAATGCTGCTGGTAATTTAATGTGTAGGAGGGACAGCTTAACAATGTTGATTCTTCCAGTCCATGAGTATGGAATTTTATTTTTCCATTTGTTTGTGTCATCTTTGATTTCTCTGAGCAGTGTTTTGTAGTTTTCATTGTAAAGTTCTTTCACATCTCTGGTTAGGAAGATGCCAACGTATTTGATTTTTGTGTGGCTATTGTGAATGGGTTTAGGCTTCTTATTTGGGTTTCTGTTTGTTTATTGTTGGTGTATAGAAATACGACTGTCTTTTGCACATTGCTTTTATGCCCTGAGACTTTGCCAAAGCCGTTTAACAGGGCAAGGAGGTTTTTGACAGATTATAGCCCCATTACAAAATGGGCAAGGGAGATGAATATACACTTCTCAAAAGAAGACATACGAGCAGCCAATAGATACATGAAAAAATGCTCAACCTCATTAGTCATCAAAGAAATGCAAATTAAAACTACACTGAAATACCACCTAACTCTAGTCAGGATGGCTATTATTATCATCAATATCTCAAAAACCAACAGATGCTGGAGAGGATGTGGCAAAAAGTGAACACTTCTACACTGTTGGTGGGAGTGTAAACTAGTACAACCTCTGTGAAAAGTGTGACGAATCCTAAAAGATCTAAAAATCGACCTTCCATATGACCCTGCAATCCGTCTACTGGCGACATACCTGGAAGAACTCAAATCACTCTATAAAAACTTACCTGCACACATGTTTTATCACAGCATTGTTCACAGTAGTAAGAACATGGAATTAACCATCATCAAAGAGGACTGGATTAAAAAAATATAGTACATATACATGATGGAATATTATTCAGTCATAAAGAAGAACAAAATTATGAACTTCACAGCAACCTGGATGGACTTAGAATCTATAATACTGAGTGATCTTTCACAGAAACAAAGAACTGAGTATCACATGTTCTCACTCATAAGCAGACCTTGAACAATTGTCTTAACACTATAAGAAAAGGACTGGCAGTAGCAGGAAACTGCAGGGAGCTGGTGGGGAAGTGGGATTGGCAATAGTAGGAATCTGCCTGAGGAAGGGAGAGCACACCTCATCAACAAGGGCACCTGCATAATGCACATTTCTATACCTAACCCTGAATTGTACCCCACATCTTTAAAATAAAAAAGGAGAATAAATAAATAAATAAATAAAAAATTAAACTCAAGTAACCTAAAAAGATTGTAAATGTATTTTTTGTATTTTATTGATTTTCTCAATAATTTGATTTTCATTTATCAAAAAAGAGATATATTATCAATGCATTACTTTTAGTTTGTTGTAATCAGAAGTGCCTAGATGCCGATGGTAACCATTTTGAGCTCCTCTTGTAATTGCAGAAGTAAAGCATTAGCTTGTATTCATCTACATTCTTTTTTTTTTTTTTTAGTTGGAGTCTCACTCTGTCGCCCAGACTGGAGTGCAGTGGCCACCCCCGGCCACCGCAGCCTCGACCTGCTGGGCTCCAGCGATCCTTCCACCTCAGCCTTCCAAGTAGCTGGAACTACAGGTGCGCGCTACCACACCCGGCTAATTTTTTGATTATTGTAGAGATGAGGTCTCGCCAAGTTGCTCAGGTGGGTCTCGAACCCGTGGGCTCAGGCAATCCACTCACCTCAGCCTCCCAAGACGCGGGATTACAGGCTGAGCCACCGAGTCTGGCTCATCTACACTCTTAATGTAGTTTATTCTTTCTTAATAAGTGTATGTATTTTTTTGGCTCCCTGTATATATTTTAAGACAACTATCAAGAGAGATAGTGAAGGTAGATATCTGGAGGTGTCATTTCAACATTCATGATCCAAGTAAAGGGAGAGCCTCTGCGATCCTTCCTACCTCCAGATCAGCATAGAGTCCCCAGAGGTGACAGTGTGGAGGCATCTCCAAGCCCACATGGAATGCCTCAGGCCACTGACCCCATGCAGCTCAGCTCCAGCATTTATTGCTGCTGAACAGGAAAGGAGACTCAAGTTCCCTCTGCTGAAGGAAAGACACTTTCCAGCCCCTGTCACCCTTGTCTCTGTCACTCCTGGGCTAGGGAGAAGGCAACGCAACAGAATGATAGCGTCTCCAGCATGGGCCCACAACTCAAATAAACAGGAGCAAGCAGTGAGGAGTCAGGGCACTCTTCATCCTCCCTCATCTTGACTGCTTCACTCTGGCATGGATCACCTACTAATGGCCAGCAGATCCCCATACCAGCCTGAACATGATAGGGAGGACACACTACCCAAACCTTTGGGAAGGTCAGTCACCATCACCATTAAGCAGGCTC